CCTGCGTCGCTCACGAAGATCATGACCCTGTACGTGGTTTTCGAAGAGCTCTCGGCCGGACGCCTTACGCTCAATTCCCGCCTGAAGGTGTCCAAGTATGCTGCGGGCCGGCCACCATCCAAATTGGGCCTGAAGCCGGGAAAAACCATCAAGGTCAAGGACGCAATCCTTGCGCTGGTGACCAAATCCGCAAACGATGTCGCAACAGTTGTTGCCGAGAACATTTCCGGGTCCGAGAAAAAGTTCGCCCAACGCATGACGAGCACGGCGCGGTCACTGGGCATGAAAAAGACGACCTTTAGGAACCCGCATGGTTTGCCGAATTCCGGCCAACGGACAACTGCTCGGGATATGGCGACCCTTGGACGAGCGATTCAAGAACACTACCCGCAGTATTACGGCTATTTCAAAACGCGGTCCTACAAGTACAACGGCCGCACTTACGGCAACCACAACAAGCTTCTTGGCCGTGTGAAGGGTGTTGACGGCATCAAGACCGGCTATATCAGGGCATCCGGATTCAATCTCGTCACTTCGGTCAACCGGAACGGCCGACAGATTGTTGCCGTTGTGATGGGCGGCAGGTCCGGTGCATCCAGAAACGCCCAGATGACCAAGCTGATCAGCCGCTACCTGTCCAAGGCAAGCCGTGGCAAGAAAACCGTTCCCATGATAGCCAAGCGCAGCGGCGCACCGATCTTTGTTGCCTCGGCCCTGGCTCAACCGCCATTGCCAAGAGAAAAGCCGGGTAGCACTCAGAAGCCTGCGTCAGGAGCCCCGATGGTTCTTGCCTTCAATGCGGCTGAAAAACCGATCGTTGCTCCAGTGCCAACACCTTCCGTTGCCTCCGTCACCACAGCTTCAGTCAAGACCGAGCCCGTAACTGTACCGGGTTTTGGAGACGCGGTTCCAATACCTCCCAAGATTGTCAAACAGCGTTTTGACGAGACATTCGCAGTCGCAACCGCGCTGCCGCCGATCCGCCGTGAAAGTCCTGATCTGGATCTGACGACGAATTCAGTCTCGAAAAAAGCACTGCTCGACGCTGCAAGGGCAGATGTGACCAGACGCACCACTTCCCAGCCAGATAGTGAAGGCCGACCGATCCCGGCGAAAACAATCACTGTGGAGACGGTCAAGATTGAAACGGTCCCGGCGCCCGAAGTTACTGCATCGAACGTGAAAGTGGCGGCAGCCTCGGCGACCGCGCTGCCGGTTGTCGAAAGCCAGTCGAAGGATGACACCGTCACTGTTGCGACCAGCGATACGCCGGATATCGAACCGGGCTGGCAGGTGCAGAGTGCCGCTTCGGAGACCGAGAACCAGGCCGTTGCACTTCTGAAGAAAGCCAAGGCCAGAACGGGAGCGGCTCTTCGTGGACGTTCACCATACACAGAACCCGTTGAAGCCAACGGACAAACGCTCTACCGCGCGCGCTTTGTTGGCTTCAAAAACAAGACCGCAGCCCGCAAGGCCTGCAGTACACTGAAAAAGGCAAAATTCGCCTGCTTCGCCATCTATCAGTAACTGCGTAACGGATGTCGTCAATGTCTTCTGAGAAGCGTGTCTTTAGCCTCGTTGATTTTCGCCGCGAGGAAACCGGATCCTCCTTTGTCGGGATGAACCCGCATCATGAGCCTGCGATGCGCGGCTCGAATTTCCGCGTCCCCGGCATCGGGAGAAAGCCCCAGGATCTCGTAGGCCTCCTCATCTGTCATGGGGCCAGAGCTCGTCGGGCTTCCCTGCCCCTCTGTTCCATCAGACTGGAAGTGTTCACGCCATCCGGCAAGCCTGCGGTCGAGATAAGCTTCGACTAGCTTGCAACTTTGTTCGTCCTGGCCACATTCCTGCCAGAACGAAAGCAGGTCCTGGTCGCTTAGTTCGTCCAGCCTGCGGCCTTGAAAACCTCCTGCCAGAATCAGACCGGTCATTTCACCGGTATCGTGATCCAGTTCCATTTCGACCATTGCAGTTCGCACCCTGGATCTTTGACCTGATGCCTTGTTCGGCTTGTAGCTTCCTGTCAGGCGACCGAGACCGGCAACCCCAAGAAGAGACAGACCAAACCCTATCAGCGGTATTGCGAACATGAACCGCCCGGTCAGCATGAAGACAGCACCCAGGGCAAGAAGAAGAATTCCGCCGTACTTGCGAAGCTGGCGGGCGAGATCGCCGGGATTGGCCTGAACAAAACTGCGCGCACCCAAGATGACGGCAGTGAGCAGGATCAGTCCGATAAGAAAATAAAACATCAGTCAGATTTGATTTGCTGCAGAAGCAGACGGGCTCCCTGCCCGCCTTTGCGTTCAAGTGCCACAAGTGCGTTGTGTCCGCCACTTGCAAATACCGCAACCGCTTTCAAGAGCTCGGCAAGCTGCTGTGCAGACCCCGCATCAAAGGGACAATAGGCTCCTTTGGACAAGCGTGCCATCTCGCGAAACGCCTGTTCCGCAATGGCGTCTCGCCCTTCCTGAAACAAGAACACCGGTACGCCCATCAACCCGAGTTGTCCGGCTTTGTCGCAAAGAATATCCACATCTTCTTCCATACAATCGCCGACATAGACCACAGCGGCAATCTTGTCGTCCGCGGCTGACTGGAGAGCCGCGGAAAGCACTTTGCTGATCTGAGTACGTCCGCCCTGAACGGAGATCCGGCTCATGGCCTTTGCGAGCTCATCACTGCGCTCGAACCAGCGCGACGCTCTGCATTCTCCAAAGCCGCGAAAATAGACCAGCTTGATCTTCAAACCACCGATATGGTCTGCTTCCTGAAACATTTCAGACTGAATGTGGCAGGCCCTGTCCCAGGTCGGCTGTCGGCTCATGGTTGCGTCGAGCGCAAAAATCAGTCGGCCATCGCTCCCTGCTTTTGGCTCGATTTCCTTCGCTTTCTCAAGAAAGGCAGAGATATCGGACGCGGCCGAAGGCAAATCGCCTTTTTTCCGGACAGGTTTCCCCGTCGCGTCCAGATCTGTTTTCGCCATTCATATTCGTCCCTGCTGCGCTCGATACATTCAAATTGGGCCTGCCGGTCTGATTTGGCAAGCACAGCAGCTGTCTTCATCCCAAACTAGATGAGATTTCGATTCACCTGGTTTGATTGGCCAACAGATAGCTTCGCCTGCCACGCATCAGCAGGTATGTCTCGACCAATATCGCATTTGGCATCCAACACGCCCAACTGATGATCGGGTAGGCCACCTGAAATTCGGCGCCCAGTGCCATCGATGACCCCAGATAAACACGCAATGTTACCGCCGCAAAGGTCAAGGCAGCGGAACGGAGCATCCAGTCGCGATGCCTGGCAAACTGCCTTGTGAGCGCAAAATACAGCGCACCGAGTGTTGTCCAGAGCCAGACAACGGCCAACGAAGCAAATCCGGCACTCGCGAAAACACCGGCCGTTGAATGAAACGCCAGCTGAAAACCGGCAACACCGGAAATCACGACCGCCGCAACGTAGATCCGTCCAACCCAACGGTGAAGCGAGGGGTGTTTGCGGCGCAATCCGGACATGAACTGAAACGGCATCAGAAAGAGAGCAACCGGTGCGACAGCGATATGCGCAAAGAGCGCCAGACTGTTTCCCGCCAAATTGTGTGAAACGAAATCCATGGCGATTTCCACGCCGAGTGGAACAAACCTGTAGGAAACAAGCGCCACAAGAACCGATGAAATGACGCTTGCCCAGAACGCAATACGGCCTGTTAGTTTCAAAACCTGTTCCATGCCTCTCCTCCAACTTGACAGTGTCAAGATAAGATCAAACTTGACACTGTCAAGACAATCGATGAAGACGGTCACATGGTGGATGAACAAACGACAAGGCGAAGAACGGATCGCGACCTGAAAACGGCACTGATTGACGCTGGTGTCGAGCTTCTGCGAATACGGGGGGCAGACGGCCTTTCGCTCCGAGAATGTGCTACGATGGCGGGAGTTTCACACGCCGCACCCGGCTATCATTTCAAGAACATAATGGGCCTTTCGACTGCGATCGCTGCGCGTGGCTTCCAGCTGTTTTGCGAGGCCATGACAAGACGGCTGGACGGGGCCGGTCCGTCCCCCCGGGATCGCCTGTCGGCTATTTGCCACGGTTACATCGACTATGCGTCGGATCATCCAGCTTTGTTTCTGTTCATCTTTTCCGGACAGAAGTTCAATGAGAACGACGAGTTTTTCTGCTCGCACTCCGAACGCGCATACGCCATCCTCCGGGAGGCTTGTGCACCTTTTGTCGCCTCCGGGACACCGAAAGAAGACATAGAGGTCCTGGTCTGGTCACTGGTTCACGGTTATTCCCAGCTTTCCATGACCCGCAAGAAGGAAAACCCCAAACTGGACCGGTCGTGGCCGGATTTTGACCAGCTCTTCAAGCATTTGGGTAAGGCGCTGACACCCAACGACGAAACATGAACAGGCAGTTGGATGCCTTCGTGCGATCATAACAGACAGAGTTCCGTCAGATCCTGGCGCATGGCGTCCGACATGGCTTTGGTCTCCGCGGCCAGCCGCATGTCCGCGGGTGCGTCATCCGCTTTCAGATACCGCCATCCCTGAAACGGGCGCCTCGGCTGGTATCTCGTGAGGATCAACCTTGGTTCGAGCACGAGGTCGCATCTCTTGATACCGGCATCGTCCGTGAAGGGACGAATATCGATCAGATGCTGGCGAACCTGGATCTTGCCCTTGATCACCCAATAGAGCGAACCGCCTTCCAGCAAATCGTCCTTGCGGGTCGGTACCATGCGCGTGGTGTGTGTCGTTACTTCCTCCAGCCCTGCCAACCGGGCCTGCTCGATCCGAAAATCGATCGAGGCCTGAAGAGATTCCGCGCTGTCGGCGCCGACACAGAGTTTCACCAGATGCAACGTCATTCTTTTGACCTAGCAGGCCTGTCCGCGAGGTCAAGCTGGCATGAGTAAACGTCGGTGGATTGTGCACAGCTCCCCACATCAAAAACTTGCGTGCAACTCGCGAACAGGGTTCTCTTTTAAGATGGACGTGTTCGTAACCGGTGGCACCGGCCTGATCGGTGCAGCCGTTGTCAAAGAGTTGCTTTCCAAGGGGGCTCGTGTCATCGCTCTGGCGCGATCGGAGGCCGCCTCCGACAAGTTGCGCGCCTTCGGTGCCAGCGCTTTTCCCGGTGACCTGAAACACGCTGAAAGTTGGGTTGGCAGGGCAGCGTCCTGCGACGCAGTCATACACGCCGGTGCGACATTTGCAGCGGATATGGGCAGGATCGACCGACTTTCAATGCTGGCGCTCAAGCAGGCCACCAAGCACAGGAAACAACCCCTGAAGCTTATCTATACCGGAGGCATCTGGCTCTTTCCTTCCGTACAGGGCACACAGGCTATCACGGAAAAAACCCCGTTTGCCCCCGTCCCTGCCTTCCGGTTCATGGCGGAAACCATCCGGACGCTGTCTCATGGCACGGATCTGAACCTTGTGGTGATCCACCCGGCTCTCGTCTGCAGCAGGTTATCAGGACCGATCGCCGAAATGACGGAAGCATTGAAGGCAGGCAGACCATTCAGGACGCGCGCGGCCTCCGAGACGCTTTGGCCGCTTGTCGAGGCAAACGATCTGGCAGCGCTCTACGTTCTGGCACTCCAGCAGGCCCGTTTCAGAATGACATTGATGGCAAGCAGCATATCCGGCATTTCGGTTCGTCATCTGGCTGCCCACATTTCGGCCCGGCACGGTCTTCCCCTGGAAATCGAGACGGTTCAGGCCGACAAGGCCGTTCCTCCGGAAACGGACTGGAGCGCCGGCTACGCGTTGTCCCAAAAAATCGATGTCACCCAGACAACTCGGGCAACTGGCTGGCAACCGGAGCATTCCACGATCGAGGACATGGTCGTTTCTCTGTCGAGATAGCGGTGCAGCAATCTAAAGTGCTGCCGGACGGGTTTTCGGGCCAACACTTTCTAAATATGTCACACACTATCGTGCGCCAGACACCAATCTGGAGCCGTGCATGGCAAGACATATCGCGACCATTCTGGCTTTCCTGTTTCTGGTAATCCCGACAAGTGCCCAGCCGGAATTGCCGGTGGGCCAATTCAGGATCATCAATACCGCTGCCTTCATGGAGCTCGATGGGACCCGAACGGCAATTGACACAGGCTTGCGTGGCGGCACGGTCGACATTGGTTTTCCGGCCGACGGATCGCTGATCCTGACCCTCGGCGGCACGAGAATAGAACTCTTTCCTCTTGAGGCGGGTCTTGCCGGCCTCGCCTGGGATGCTGACGGCACAAGTCTGTTGCGTTGGAGCGATATTGAAGCAATGAACCCGTCCCGGTCACCGCGGGATATCCGGTCCTGGGGTGCGGAACTGGCCTGGCCAGGCCTCGGACTGGCACGTTTGGTGATGATGCCATTCGGAAATTCGGGGTATTCCGGGCTCCTGATCAGCTATCCCGGCAATCGCACGGTGGTTCGCCAAGTGGAGTTTCGTCAGGTATTCGGTCCACAGAACCGGCCGAACTCTTCACCGACAAACGCTGCAGGTGCTTCAAATCGTTATTGAAATGAAAAAGGCGCAGCCATCGGCTGCGCCTTCAATTGAAAACGTCCCGCTGGCCCTACTTGGCAACGGCGACGGCTTGTTGCGCGCTTTCCACATCGTTGAAAAGGAGGATCATCGTCAAGGCGACACCTACCGCAGCGACAGTCCAAAGAGTGACGCTCCAACAAGACTTCTGCACGTTTTCGTCCATAAAATCCCTACACTTGTTCTCAGACGCCAGTCCCCTGCAAATTGAAATATGGCGCCATTGGGGCGAGGAGGTAAACGATCCCTTACCATTTCGCAAGCGCAAAAAAGGAGCAGCTGCCCCCTGAATTTTGCAGATCAGAAAACCTTTCATTTTTTCAGCCGCTTATGCTTTTTTAAAAATGCTCTGTTTCCAAAAGAAAGTCATTGCATGCACGCACTTTCGTACCTGGACCTTGCCGCGGCCGCGTGGTTTCTTGTCGCCTGGTTCGGCTTCAGCCTGATTGTCGACATCAGTCCCCTGCGCACCAGAACCCTGTCGGCCGTGATGGACGAGTACCGCCGCAGCTGGATGATCGCCATGAGCAAGCGCGAGGTTCGCATCATGGACACTTCCATCATGACCGGACTGCAACAGGGAACAGCCTTTTTCGCATCTACAGCGCTCCTGGCGATTGGAGGCGGTTTTGCCCTTTTGGAAGCGACCGATCGCATCGTTCAGATTACAGGCGATTTATCGATACCGGTCGAAAGCAGCCGTGCGCTGTGGGAAATCAAGGTCCTGGGGCTGATGCTCATATTCGCCTACAGCTTCTTCAAATTCGGCTGGGCCTACCGGCTCTTCAACTATGCAAGCATTGTCATGGGCGCCGTTCCGGAGAAGGGTAACGCGGGTGAAAACGAAATTCGGCAAATGGCCGTTCAGGCCGGAGACCTGAATGTATTGGCCGGCCGTCATTTCAATCGCGGCCAAAGAGCCCTGTTCTTTGCAATCGGATTTCTTGGCTGGTTCGCGGGCCCGTTCGTCTTTGCCGTCACCACGCTGGCCGTGCTTCTGGTATTGCTGCGTCGTCAGTTCGTGTCCCGTGCCAGGGTTGCCGTGTTGTCAGGGCAGTATCCCAGCTTGTCCCCCCTGAGCAAATCAGGCGAGTAGACCGAAACCGGATCGTCAAAGCCCTTGACCTGATAACGACCGAACAGGCCCGACCGGCAGCCCATGATGTCTGACAACGCGTCGGAGACGAGAACTTCACGATGAAGGTCCTTGGCAAGCTCCGCAATTCGGGCTGCCAGATTGACGACCGGACCGACCACCGTGAAATCGAGCCGTGTTTCACTGCCGACATTGCCAAAAAAGACATCACCGGCATGCAGTGCAATTCCAACGCTCAAGTCTGGGGTCTGGGCACATTTGTTAGACCGGTTTATCTCGTCAATCCGGCCAAGCGTGTCGCGCGCTGCAAGCAGAGCACGCCTGGCGGCATCACGAGCTTCCTCTTCGGTCTCGTAGGGAAAGATTGCCATGACTTCATCGCCGATGAACTTGAGCACTTCTCCACCATGCGCTTCGACAGCGGCAGTCATGGCACCAAAATACTTGTTCAGGAGATTCACGATCATGTCGGCAGGAAGCGTGTTGGACAATCGCGTGAAACCGCGAATATCGGCAAAGCTTACGACGGCCTTGATCCACTCTCCCTGTCCGCGTCGCGTTGTTCCGTCGAGAACCTTCGACCCTGCACGCGGACCGACATAGGTATCCAGAACCGTTTCCGCGGTTCTTCGGAGCGTTTTCAGTTCACACACCAGTGCAAGCGGACGGATAAGGGATTCAAAAACGCTTATGGGCCCGGACCTGAAGCCGCCCGGCGCCTTTGTCGCAAAGCTTGCGACCTTGACTGATCCGTCCGAAAACGGCATCGGCAACGCGATATAGTCCGTGTACCCTTCATCGCGGAGGTCAATCGCGACCGGAAACTCTTCTGCTTCCTCGGGACGCTCCGAAATCCGGACCCTCACGGCCTGATTGGTTTGATGAACGCGTTGGATCGGACTGCTCTGATAGTCTTCGTCCGAGCTGTTGTCGGCAGTATAGAGCCGAAGCTCCTTGGTACCGTCACTGGCCCAGACCGAAGCCTCAGCCCTCACGTTGGGGTGCACCACCCATATTCCGGTGGTCGCCCTGTCGACCGGCACATTCCCGTCGCGCAGGCGCGCAGCCATTTCACTTACAATTTCCAGCGTATCATTGAGATACGACGCATCACTATAGAGCCACTGTACGACGTCTGCCGCGACTATCGGCGCTTCAAGGACCATCTGCCCACGTCCTTTTTGTTCCCTGAGACACCCATCATATGGTGCATTGCGGCGGACAGTAAAAGAGGTGATTTTCAACCAGTGTTAACGGTCCGGGCAATCTTTAGGATTTTGGTTCTGGAAAAAGTGACGCACTGCGCCCCGTCAACCGGTAGACAACAAGCCCAATCCACTCCCTGAATGCCAGATCAAACCGTCTCAACCCTTTCGAAACGCCTGAAAATCCAAGCATTCTGTCCGCTTCTCCACGAGTTCTGTAGTCGACTGGATAGGCAGTCAGGCCG